ATATGTATAAACTGTCTTGCATGAAGATACCAATATTTTGTTGGAAACAATTTCATGAGGAAACAGGAATTCTTTGTAAATGTAGAGAAGAATGGATTTCTGCAATTATTAATTTCGTGAAAAACATTATTGAACAGGGAGGGACTGTTTTAATTATATGTGAAGATATCAACACTACTGAAGATATAGCAAAAACAAATTGAGCAAAATTATAGCATACATTAGAAATGACGAAAATAATGAGATGAACAAAACATCAGTATAAGTCATATTATTACGCGTTTTATTAATGATATATAAGCTCTTATCGCTTTGGAATACTATTGCTTAACTTGCCTTTGAATTATGTAAACGTATTTTTTTTATTCTTAATTTATTTGTTAAATAATGCTTTAGAATTACATGTAGTTTAATTCAGGTCTTATTTGTGCATGTAATAAAATACTACAAATACACTGCAAAAAACATGAACATTATGCTTGCAAGGTTTTTATTTGGCGGCAGACATGGGGGATGGGGACATTTTGTATTACGGGGACTTAACTCTGACAGATGTAAAACTTTACAATGCTAAGCATATCCATGTCTCTGGCATGGGGCCAGACTGAAATTCGTTAAAACTTCATTTGGATTGATAACATATTGTTTTATTTATAAAGCTTCGACATAACTCGCATTAGAATTTCATATGAGAAAGAAATTGAAAGGGGGGGGGGGGGTGTTGAAACTCTGAAACCATCAATTAATAACAAATATACCTCCATGTACCACCTTGCAAAAATCCGTCATTTTAAAACTCGTCCTTTGAGTCTGGAAATATTACGTACATGTAACAGACACATTTAACTAGACATGCACATTATAAGTCTGATTTCCAATTGAATATAATTAAACTTTAACTATAAATTACACAGTGTGATTCATTAAAACAACCTACACATGTATTTAATTATTTCTGACTTATTATTTTGATAATTTATTCGATTTAAGTAAACGAATAGATCGACAAATCGATTTCACAGTTTAACGAAATTCGGACTAATTCTTTTTAAATGATAACGAAAATGCCCGGAATCGATTACTTGTCTACTTCTAAATCATTTCAATTTTCACAAAAGGAAATTCAATTGACGTCGCGCACGATGTTGGTGTCAATTTTGGTAACGTCAAAATGACGTTAGATTACGTGACGTTAGAAAATGAATGTGACGTTACTTTTTTGACCTACATTTTCTATGACAGAGAAAATATAAAACCTAGTATGTTGTCAAATATACAATGCAGTTCATTGAAAATAATCAAAATAATCAAATTCTCTGCTATTTTGCATGCTTATTGCGGGAGGGAAATATGTGCATAATTTGCCTCATTTAATGAAAAGCTCGGTAGAAATTACAAAATTCATTTGACATCATATTTAAATTTATCTGCTTTTTATTTCATTGAGACACAATCAAAATAATCTCATGTCATATCAGCAGGCCCTAGTACCAGCCCTCTGTTTTCAGTATAGTGTAGAAATGTTGCTGATTTAGCATTGAATTTAATTTTTTTCATTCAAAGCCCATATCCCCACCTCCCCTTAAACCCCCGACCTCGCATAGACACTTACATGCTGAGTACTTCTTTTTGATACAGTAGATCTAACTATTTCAAATAATTCATTTAATAAAAGGAGAGGAAACAAAACCGATCGACCCCCCCCCCCCCCAACTTTCTCAATGAAAAGGATTTTGGGGGGAGTTTTGGAGGTTTTGTATTTATTCAAAAAAATATTTAATTTTATCCCCCCCCCCCTTATTATTTTATATGCGTTGCAACGTGCCTCACAGATCTGGATAATGATCGTAGGTTCGTACTCCTTGGGATACAGTTTTACCTGTTTTATGCGTTTGCATACTTTTTTTTTTTTTTGCTATGCTCATAAATTTTAGCAAAGAGTGTTTCGGAGACCGTTTCGTACAAACTTTCATCAAGATTCAGATTTGAATCTTTAAACCAAACGTGTAAGTCATGAAGGATAAGACTTTTAACATATTTTTCAGCTCATTTCATATTAGAAGCTTATAAAAAAAAACTGTATTATTGTAAATTTAGAATAGGTTACTTTAAGATTTTCAAAAATATTTTCTTAATTTTGTCAAATTTCTGCATTTCAATTTCAAGAATGAAAGAATTGAAAATATTAATCGACCAGCTCATTTCAAATTCCTTAAGCGTATTTTATACCAGTTGGCCCCCTCACTTTTTTGGTCAGTATAAGTTTTTTTTTCGTGCTTGTCAGATTTTTGGGGAAGCCGCCCCCCCCCCCCTTTTTGAAACCGGGTCTATTAATAGGAGGTGTAACAATATCCCGAGATATGGTAATCCTTTTCGCTTAAAATCGATTATCGATTATCTGAAATATCTTCTTTTTTATACGAATAAAAAACGATTAAAAGAATCTACGTCATTTCCTGCTTTACAAAATTTAATTCGTTTCTTTTTGTGTATTCTTATTCTGTATTTGTACGAGTAGATTGCAGAATACTTTTACACCTGTCAATATTGAAATGAAATTTTTGAAAAGTGATGTTTAAAAAACTTTTTATAGAACAAAATTGGAAAGTTATACGTATCAATACACATGATAAACATGGCAAAATATTGATATATGTGGGATAGTTGTTGTTGGTTTTTTTTTTTTTTTTTTTTTTTTTTTTTTTTTTTTTTTTTTTATACTCGATCATATCTTCTTTACACCTTTTACATCCAATCCGTGGATAAATTATAATGAGGTCCATTCGGCAAATCTCGAATGATTCCGTCTTTCATCAAACTATTGAATTATCAATTTGAAATTAGATGAGGTACATGTACGAATCGGCCAAGGTGTGCCGAGTGCGATGAGGTCTTTGGGTCCGTTCCTGGGTTTCTGGAAAGGCTGTACAGGGGATTGTATAGAGGGAGTATCATTTCCCTAAACTAGACTTTGTTTATATAAATGGTACCATTTTGGTCGGTTTAGATGCATTTGGAAACATTTTTTCTTTTAATTTCAAAGAAAAATATGAAACATTACTAAAATAGATAAATAATGAAAAGATGAAAAAAGGAAGGACCAGTAACTTATATCCAAACATTATCATTATTGAGTTCAAATGAAAAACAAAAGATTTGTAATTAAAAGAAATATATATATACCCCGATAATATACTAAATACGAAATAATATACCCCGATCTCGCCTTATTCTGTTTCCATGACAAAGTCAGCCATTTTGAATGTTGTTTGCATGCCTATTTTTGTTCACGGTATCATAATAAAATACAATTTTGTTTTATTTCAAATGCTACCGGGTTGATGACAAAAAGAAATAATTATCAATATGCTATTGAAAATCTGAAATTTAAGTCAAATCACAACCTCCAACTAACCCCCACCCCACCCCAACCCTTAATCAATATTCGACAACCCAATGTACGTAAAATGCCTTCCAATGCCCCATGTACATGTAGTACGGTTTGCCAGCAGCAAATAGACTTGACACACTTTTTTGTCAGGACATTCATATTTGATTGATTGTATGTTGTTTTACGTCCCATTAAAGAATTTTTCACTCATATAGAGACGTCACCATATACCGGTGAAGGGCTTCAGATTTGGACTACTCGGCACTTCGGGCCATTGAGCAGTGAGGGATCTTTATCGTGCCAACGCCTGCCGTGACACGGGGCCTCGGTTTTTAAGGTCTCATCCGAAGGACCCGCAACTTTCACTTCAAAGTGCCTAGCGCATGGCGAAGGAACAGTTGCTACCCATTTTTTTTATCGACTTAGGTCAGTCGCGGCCGAGATTCGAACTCACGACCTTCTGATCAAGGAGCGAGCGCTCTATCAACTGAGCTACCCTGAACGGTGGGCATAAATGAGAGAACTTACTTGGGATAATATTAGTAGATCTCTGTTTTCCTCCTAATCTCTCCCCCTTTCACCTGTAGCAGACGAATTTTCTTTTGCTTATATTGTCTTACAGTACCCACTGGTAGCCTCAATAACCAATTGCTGACCCGAAACGACCCTACGCCACTTCTGGAATAAACAATTCAGGAAAAGTGCACACAATGATGTTTTTGTATGAAAATCGTTAATATCCACGGGATATCAAATGGGACTATATCTTAAAAATATGATAAGTACAAGTAGCTACTTAACTATTAAGTTGATATAAACAGTGACGGTGAATGTTCAAACATGAAACGTGATAAATGACTTCAAACATGCTATCGAGATTGCGATCGGGCCGAAATACAACAGTGCTAAATACTAGTACCCAAAGTGAAGAAATGTTTGTTTGTTTGTTTGTTGTTTAACGTCCCTGTCGATTATTTTCACTCATATGGAAACGCCACCACTTGCCGGTGGAGAGCTGCAAATTAAGACCTATAGTCGGCACTTAGGGCCATTGAGCAGTGAGGGGTCTTTTTCGTCCAGCACTTACTGCAACACGGGACCTCGTATTATATATACGGTCTTTTCCGAAGGGCCGGTCTCCGCGTCCCGAAGTTGGATTCAGACCAGCGACGTAAAGTTCGTGAAGAAATGAATTTCGTAGAACACTTTGTTATATCTGCTTGTTAATATGTTACAAGGTTGTCATATTCAAAATTTTAAATTATATCTAAATGTCAGGTATATGTGTCAAATAATGTGAAGAGATGTTGGCATAGGAACCGAGGGACTGGGTTCTAAGAAGGTTTAGATAAATAAAAAACAAAATCATTAACCTTTTTCTATATAATAACAGATTTTAATGCACAATTTGTATGTGCAGGTGTGATGAGTGTTATACGATCCATGCATGAACTTTTAATACAAAAGTGGGGCACATTTTGAGTGATAAGAATAAAGACAGAGTACAGTTAAAAGGTATCTATTGATGTACTTTCGTTATGATGTTTTATGCTTAATAACATGTATACTTCTCGTAAATATTCAATCGTGAGTACATATAGCAGTGACAATGTCCAAGGTAAAAATAACTGTGAAACCAAGAGAAGCTCTAGTTGATGAAAGAGTTCATATTGAAGTTGAAGGTCTACCCCAAAATAAACCCATTACTATTAAAGCCTCATTTCAGGAGGAAGGCCTGAGATTCTGTTCCTATGAATGCTTTACCTCAACAGAGGGAGGTCACGTGGTTGTGGAGAGGCATGTATCTGTACAAGGAACATATACTGGTAAGTAGCACGCTGTTGTTTCATATTGCCTGTTGCTATAAGAAATTTAAATGAATAAATATACCAGTATGAAAGAATTTATTTCATATTCTGCATATACTTAAGTACTTAGTAAATATTTGATAGGTAAATGGAAATGTATATGAATTTTATTTGATAGTATACTAGTAGTGCATGCTGGAAAGTGAGTTTATAGGACACTATACAAGGGGTGATCAAAAAGTTCGCGAACTATATCTATATTTACAAAGTCACAGAATGAAATTTGACTCACATATAGTCATAAACATGTTCTATAAATAGCAGATGTTAAGTAATGTTTTGCTCCATGTGTGTGACGTCACAATGTGAAAATGACGTCAATATGTAGATGACTTGTGACAAAAAATTGTTGAATCAGTCATACTCGAGCAACGAACGGCTGTAAAGTTTAACGCATTTCTTCGAAATTCCTTTGCAGTGGCCTATAATAATTTGTACAAGGTTTATGAAGACAAAAGACTTGCTAGAAGTTTAATCTTTAATTGGATTGATTGTTTTAGGGAAACAAGGAAGATGGTTAAAGTAAGCTGGGGAAGAAATGTGTCCTTAGTTGAGCAATTTGGTATGAAAGATCGTCAAGTTACAGTTAAAAAAATAAGTAAATATCTTAACAATAAAAAATTATTAAATCCCTAAAATATCGTTTACTTTAGATTTAATCATATCAGATATAATAAAAAGAAGGCGCCCATACTTTATCCACACCGGATAAACGACGCACTGAAGACAGAGGAGTCGGGTTGTGATGGTCACCATGCTCATTCTAGGGAAAGATATCCATATCCATCCATCCTTTTGCCGAGAGTTGGTCATTTGTGACAAATGGACTATTCTTTTTATAAAAGGCCGTCACGGTAGCTCAGTCGGTAGAGCGCTCGCTCCGTTATCGGAAGGTCGTGTGTTCGAATCACGGCCGCGACTGACCTAAGTCGATAAAAATAGGTAGCAAATGTTCCGTCGCCAAGCGCTCGGCACTTTGAAGTGAAAGTTGCGGGCCTTCGGATGAGACCTTAAAAACCGAGGCCCCGTGTCACGGTAGGCGTTGGCACGATAAAGAACCGTCACTGCTCAATGGCCCTGAGTGCCGAGAAAAGGTCAAAATTTGAAGCCCTTTACCGGTATATGGTGATGTCTCTATATGAGTGAAAAATTCTTGAACCTGACGTAAAACAAAATATCATCAATCAATCAATTGTTATAAAAACTTGCATGAAAAGAAATATGACTCGGAAAAATCTTTCAATTTCTGTGAACAGAACGCTACGGAGCATGTCACGCGACCGCCTGGATCAAGTGATTCGCGCATGGGCAGAACAGTGATAGATGTGCATTAAAATCGGAGGGGGCTACGTTAAAAAAATAATAAGCACTGAAACCTAATTTTATTTCTTTTATGGAAGTAATTCAATTAGTTCGCGAACTTTTTCATCACCCCTTGTACAAAGTACTACGCAGTGATTTTTCTACATTATTTAAAAGGGGCCTGGACTTTTACAATTGGGAAAATCATCGACATTTGTGTCAAATTGGGTAATAATCAATGAGATTGAAATAAACCTTAATTGGCAGGTAAAATAAAATATATAAGTAAATATAACAATTTATTCAATTTATTTGCTACAAAAAACAAACAAACAAACAAGTTAGACACAGTTCTACATTTTTAACTTTTTTTTAATAGTTGAAAGTTGTCATTTAATTGTGACCGTCCCATATTTTCATTTTGCCAAATAATTAAGAGAAAATCCTTCTCGTAATAGCCATTGAAGATGGAAAAATCTGTCATGATTTATGACAAATAATTTATTATTCTAGCTAATTATTAAAGTTTTCTAAATTTCCCTAATCATATTGTTGCAATTTCTCTGCAATACTAGTTGCATCTGCCGAGTGTAGAAACAGTTTGACAGTTGGCATCAGGGATGTTTGTTGTAGAACTACTAGTACTCGGATTTACAAATAAAGCTAACAGATATCATGATCCATGTGTTTTGCTATGTCTTGTAAACGCAAAAAATAACCTGCTGTTCTTCACAATTATTCAAAGAGTCTGAATGACCGAGAACAATAGCGTTCCATTTTAGATAAGTCGTATATAACAAAAACAGCAATGGTTTTAATCTGGGAAAAAACTACTGAAATTGGGAAAAAAATCGTTAATTTTTGAGAGGTGAAAGGACCGATATTCGGACCTACATTGGGTGTAGAAAAATCACTGTTATGTATTATCATCATAGCTTATGAAGATCAAAATGATCTTGGAGGAATGGGATGATAGCAAAGAGATTCAAATATGCCTAGGGTTACGATCGTCTGTCCAATTTCAATCAGAACCTCAATTATCAAACAACTATATATTTGATAAGGTGTAGAATCAATGGGACTATTCTGGAGTATGAAACCCGAGCCTTTCCAGAGGCAACATATTAGATTACTTAAGAGGAACGTGATAACGCCCATTGTTATGACAATTGCTGTATACGAAGGACACCTGTGCTGGGATGAGCTCTTTGATCCGCCCACTAAACCCGTAGCCACATCAAAAGTTTACAGATGGTACAAGCACGAGAGTGTTCGAAGAGAAAAAGTGAGGGAAGGGAATATTAGAGGTGTACTTTTCACTCCTTCAGGTAATCCATGCGATTATATCATATTTGACTTTTATTTAATACATGCACACAAAGCACATTTTAAAAGTTGTGGTCCTTATGATGTTAAGAGTTATGTTTAATTGAATTTTTTAAAAGTTTTTTTTTTCAGTACCATGCCTCGTTTCATCAGTTATATAAAGTCTTCATATTTAGTAGCCTAATATAAGAATTCGTTTAAAAAGGAAAATCTAAAATGGCATTAATCATTACAGGGCCTGGACCATTTCCCGGAATAATTGACATGTTCGGTAGCGGAGGAAGCGTTTTTGAACAAAGAGGGGCTCTATTGACTTCTAAGGGCTTCTGTGTTCTCTCACTGGCCTTCTTCGCTTATGACGATATTTATTCGATGAAGTAAAGTTTACGCCCTATGGAGTCGATACAACAGGATTTCATAACCCTTCTGACGATTTCTACATCAATGTAAGTTTAAAGACCCTTGTTATTTTCGTAGCAACGCCTACGGTCAGTTTTTTTTACCTGTATATATTAAGACAGTTTCTAGATTTTTATCACCACAGGTATGGACCAGTCTTGCCTCCGTGCTGTGTATTGTGGGAGAAGATGACCATATTCTGAATCCAAAACTTACTGAAAGATTCATGGAACTTGTACAAGACTTGTACAAGAAGAAAACAAACATCGATTCTAGATGATTAAGTATCCTGAGACGGGACACCTGATAGAACCACCATATATGCCACACTGTATATCCTCTTATAGTATTATGTTTGGTAAGGCCACTAATTGTGTTGCATAACATCAACAAAGTTACTTTAATTTACCTCATTTATAGGCAAGATCAATGTCACAGCCAAAAAAAAACTAAAATTCACGTCCACTCCTTAACTCCCCATCGAACAAACATTGAAGTTTTACTTCACATAAAGATAACATAAAGATAACATAACAAGAAGATTTCATGTCTTTATCTTTAACCAATGAACATATTGGCAAGTTTGATATCACCTAACGTCTAATATCATCCTTTACTTGTATCCGAATAACAGACATTGACCTATTCTACTGACATAGCAAATATAATTATCCTCAGAAGGAGACATATTAAATTGAAACATATATTAGATATGTTTAATACTGAAAACATAATAAGGGTTATATTTATCTGTAAACGTAGTTGGAACCAAGTTCTTAAAACTTCTGTAAAAATATTTTTACAGAATCAAGTTCACCAAAGTATTTTTAAAGTATCATAGAATATAGTACAATATTATATACAATATTCGTACTACAATCAATCAATCAATCAATCGCCATTTTCTCGGAATGGACGGAGCCTGCCTTGTTCTGGGAAAACACGGAAAAAAATAATTGAACTTACTTTTCTTGCTTACTTCAGTTCATGAAAACGAAATTTCACTATCAGTTTCGTTTTCTTTACTTAAGAAATACGTTCTTATCCAGAAAACTGCATCAGCCACTAAGTTAACAAAATTCCCCCTTGTTTACACTAAAATTCTATGAACCGACGCTATCTAAATATCACGTGATACGGCCTTGCAATATGATTGGACAATCGCTCTAACTTAAGGATCTAGTTAAAAATACTGAAGACATGAAATACCTAGCATTATATTAATTATCAAAGAATCTGGTGCATCAAAATTGGTACTGCATAAGATTTACATTAATTTTATAAACATCTGTACTATACTTTCTTGTAAATTAGCATAGCAACAGTCAACAATGCTTGATGACGGGTGATATTCCAAAAATATTAACTTCGCAGAATTTATGCGCGCAAGGTTCACTGTAATATTTATTTGTATAAAACATTCAGTATAATATAATAAATATTGCATGTAGTTGAGTGTAACATTGAAAATTTTCACCCCCCAAAAAACATAATCAACCGAGGCGTAGTAATATTGAAAATTTTCACCCCTCGAAAACCATTGTCAACTTTGGCTGCGCCTCGGGGTGAAAATTTTCAATGTTACACTCAACTACATGCAAAATTTATATAATATCTACTTTTTATTCAGTAAATGATGATGCCAATTATGTTACAAAAAAGCATACTCTATGCATATAGGATCTAAACGGTGATGAAGATGTACATATTCTGTGAAGAGATATGAGTAATACAATCAAATAATAAACGATGATGAGAAATAGAAATGAAAAATCTAAACATAGAATTACATAAAAAAGCAATTAATAAAATTCACTTCAACAACTGATTGGCATGATGAAGCATTAAGACACAAAAAATTAAGTTCCTTTAATAAAAAAAAAAATTAGTATTTTATAAAAAAAAAAATTCAAAAAATTAAAGGTTTATTTGAAAAAAAGGATTTTTTTTTTTTTTGCTTTTGAAGATCTATATTATCTTTCAAAGAATGTTTGCCTACATAGTGCACTGATTCATTAAAACCTCCCCCTTTGGTAATAGGAAATGATAAACAGCAGTCAATAAAATAGTTCAACCTTGTTTAGATTTAAAGGTGGTATACTTTATATAAGCACTTCTTTTGAGGAAAAAACAAGACCATTCAGTCAGTTTCTTCATATATTGAGAAACATGTCCCGTATAGAATAACAAGGTTAAATAATTTTATATTGATGTGTCTAATCTTGAAATAAGGTGATAGACTTAAGGACATTCTTTTTATAATCATAAGGATAATTTTTACTCATTGATATACAAATACTTCAAGGATAAAAAAAATCTTAAGTGAACTTGGGTAAAATAGATTAAAGGAGGGAGTTATATTTAAATCAAAGTACTGATACGTACAGTAATGAATGAGGGGGTAAAAAAAAAATAAAGTTCATGACTTTATAAACTGCACACTGTTGTAGATTTTCATAAGGTTATGATATTTACTTTTAAAAATTCAAAAATTTGAAATGAAAATCAGATTTATTATTGAGAGGCCGTATGGCATTGTCCGAATTTAACCACTCATCTCACCTCAATATAAAGTCTGAATAAATCAGCAGAGTAGTTTCTTTAATTTTCTAAAAATAAAAGTCTAAACAAGAAATTAAATCAATAGGAAATTGATTGAATTACTGCTTGTACTGTAAATATTAATATTTACATCCAGTGAATATTATCTCTTTTATTTCTTAAGAAAACCACTGTCGTTCATCAGTCAGTGAACGCCACAAAGCATACCACATTTATAGTACGAGGAAGGCCCTGGAAATTTCTGATTTGGAATCAGGTACCTAGGATGAGTAAGTTTTCCCTGTTGACCGGTCACACCCGCCGTGAGCCCTATGTATAGATCAGGTAGACGTAACATTCCGTAGTCAAATTCATTATGAAAACAAAGGCTTAACAATTGGTATGAAACACGTCAGCCAACGTTACCCAATGACAGGTAATATTTGCCAACAAGGTTATTTTAACGACCATAGAATTTACGAAATGCTGACTTTAAACAAGGTTGCTGTAATACATGTAATATCAACTTATCTGCAGTAGCCTGCCTCGTTTTAAAAATTGATCGTACTCGGAGCATGCTCGTGAGTATGGAATAAGTTGGGAGATGTAAACACCATATGCAAGTGATAGTGTGAATAAATAAGGAAAGTTGACGATGGAAAAGCTAAAGTCATATACTTTGTAATACAATTTAGTTGTTAGTTTGTCTTTTTCGTCTATAGTCAGTAAAACATCAAAGTATGAAACAGATCTGGTAGACTCTGTGGTGTCTTTTATTTCAAGTTCACTGGGATATATCGAGTCGACATATGAATTTAAGTAACGATTGCTAATTGAAAATACGTCGTCGATATATCTAAATGCCGAGTTGAAGGTCACAGCAAGTGTTTTCTTCTCCAGTAGAAGTTTTTGAATAAATCTGCTTCAGAAACAGGTCGGCTAATAAAGGAGCACAATTAGTGCCCATAGAAATTCCAACAGTTTGTTGGTAGACATGGTTTCCGGAGATTACAATAATGTTGTCAATGAGGAATTCCAGCATCCTTTTGAAGGGGCTTGGACACAGATTTGAAGTTAATATTTTCTCAAATTTTCTTTATAATATCATGACTTGTTTGTTGCTATAGTATTTCATACGAAAATATAATAAAACACTTATTTTATCTGGAAATTATTGAAACTACGAATTTCGGGACGCGTTTGGTTGTCAGTCCGTGCTCAGTGATGTGTGCAGAGTTTAACAAATTGAACACACCCGGTAAACCTAAACTGTTTTCGTAAACAGGGCACGAGCTCTGTTATTGTTAATGTTTACGTTTCACCGGGTGTGTTCAATTTGTAAAACTCTGCACACATCACTGAGCACGGACTAACAATACTGGTGAGTTGGTTTTGTTTTCTCACATTTCTACTCTGAATTTTCTGGATTATAGTTTTAATATTTTTCATTAATACACAACAAAATATATACTTTTCTTAAGTATTAAGGATAAAGTTTAGTTTGGTGAAAGTGCAAGGATGTGTCAATCAAAAGCGTCCCGAAATTCGTAGTTTCAATAATTTCCATATAAAATATTTTTTTTTATTATATTTTCGTGTGAAATGCTAAAGCAACATATAAGTCATGATATTTTACAGAAAATTTGTGAAAATATTAACTTCAAATCTGTGTCTAAGCCCCTTTAATATCAAATTCCGAGTACTTATGTGTAGAATCAGAGTAATTTTTAACAAAGTAATTTTGTAGATGAATATCACAAGATACGAAAGTATTTCGACTTTCATTTTTATTAAAGAGGCAGTTGTCTATAATATCGAAAAGCTTAGTTTTTAATTTATCGTGAGGAATGGTTATAAAAGTGTGGAAAATCATATGTCTTGATGTTACTGACTTCGAAAAAAAATGGCGATTTAAAATTTTATAAATGTTCTTTGGAGTTTTTGAGAATCCACATCTGAATTACACCACAATAAGGGCTTGGCAGAGTTTTGCTGGACCCGGTAGTGCATCTCTGTTAGTAAGGATTTTTATTAATTGCAGGAACCCAGTACAGGTAAGGAAGATCGAACTCACCTTGGTTAAAAAGCAATGAAATCAGGACCGTAATTTTTTACAGGGTTTTAATGTTTGATACTGACAAGAGTTGGGTTTTCAAATGCATGTCGGTGATCATAAAAGGGGAGGGCTAGTTAACACTCTTATGAACCAAAAGAGAAAAACATGTAGAAGTAGGTGAAATATAATGATATTCTCCTAATAGGGTCCTTGGTTACATTAATTATGAAGCTGATTTAAATAATGTACGTGTACATAAATTGGCGTATTCAAAATTTAGCGCAACCAATGGGTATGGAGTTGTTGGCGAAATCATGAATTAGCGCTATACATGTCCGTGCCGTATATTGTACTTATAAGAGATTTCTTAGCGGTATTCATGAATTAGCGCATCATTGTCTGCGCCAAAGCCGCTTTTTAAAGTACACATACAGTAAGATGAAAAAAATCACATATACTTATTCATTAGAGATAAAGTTCTGATTTCGTGAATGATGCAAGTTAACCTTCTAGGTCGAGAGATGTTGATTTGTAATATAAAAGCCGAGGCGTTAGCCGAGTGTTTTATACTTCAAACAACATTTCGGAACCGAGGAGGTTATCCTGCATCATTCACGACAAGAAGAATTTT